CTTGTCGCCTCCCTTCAGAATTTGCTTTTTTGAAATTTGTAACCAAAATATCATTATTCCTTATTTCCATATGCAGCAAAACATTGAACCTAATAGAGCAATGATCACTTGCACCCAGATGTTCCCCAGTTTCCACCCTCTCAATCATTTCTGTATTTGAAGTTAACAATAAGTCTAAAATAGCATTGTTTCTAGTTGACTAACTGGTAAAGAAAGCCATCCTGAACACAGTTTCCAAAAAACTTTCTCTCTCATGGTTTGATTCTAGAATTTCCCAATATATATGCCTTAAATTAAAATCACCCATAATTATGACTTCATTAACAGCTGAAATCTTAATATCATTGTAAATTGCTCACTAATTTATTCAGTATCATTTGTTGGTCTGTAACAAATTCCTACTAAAAGACTTTTCCCTTTATATCCACTAATAGAAACCCATATATATTCAATCTCTTAGCTATGATCTTTGATATCCTCAACTTCAACAAGATGTAACTCACATTTTACATATAAAGCCACTCCTTCTCCCCTCTTTAATACTCTATCCCTATTAAATAGTTTGTAACCTCATATTTATTATCATGGACTAAACCATTGGTACTTTGTAGAATTGGTTTGTTTTATATTTTAGGCAGTGACTTTGTCAGTAGATGATGATGGAAAAGATCTTCATGTGGTAGAGGCATTACAACGGAAACAGGAAGCTGTAGAAAGGGAAATGACTGCTATTGAGTCAAAGTTGCGAGTAAGAGTTTTATCTTATTTATTCACTGAATCTAGGGTAGATCAAAACAGTGATGCAAAGACAATGATAGATTAATAAATTTCATCCAGAACTATTAATTCACCTTTTTTTCTTTTAATGAAAAGACAGCTTTATAAGTTTCCAGAAGAGATCAATAACTCAATTGCTGGGAGATTTTTAGAAGAACATTCGAAATATTAAGCATCCAATAAGAACAAGTAACTTTATGAAGTTTAGTAAGATGTCAAGCAAGGACTGACTAAATGGAAAAAATGATAATGTTTTAGTCTATTTTCAGTGCTGTATTATCATTATTACATTATAAAATAGCGAAAAATCAAAACTTTGTTACTGTGCATATCATTTTTATAACATTTTTCATATTAAGTCTTTGAAACAAAAAGTATAAAGTTATCAAATTACTTGTAAGCATAACAATTGAATGATAGGAAAAATTAAGTACTGAAGGTATTAAGGATTGTTCTAAATTTCTAAAATAAGTCCTGCAAGTGAGGCATGTTTTCTAACTTGGTAGGAAATTTTAGTCCAAGCAAGTTAGACTTGAATTTGCAATTACTGAAAAGTAGCTAGAAAAAGGATTTTCGTTTTTCCTACTTTATTTCTGTATGGGACATTTAATTGTGTATCATACTACTGTAGGGTTAGTGGTAAATGCAGTTTTGGTTCAATATGAAACGTAGTATCACATAATGGGCACAAATTAATTAAATTATTTTTCAATAAATTCTTTTTTTTTGTATTAAATGTCTTAAACTAATGTTGAATATAATTACATTGTAGAAAAACAAATATTTTATGAAACTTTTATCCACTAATGCTATTTAGTATATAAATGTGAACTATAATACCAAGAACAGGTAAATTCCTAAACAAAAAATTCAAATGAAACCTGTTCAAGAAATATTTGTTTCTTGTTTTAATTTCTTATATCTTTTTCATAAAATACAGTACTGTACTTTTTATTTGGAAAATATAATACTCTGATCCACACAGTTTTTGTATATTGGTCTCTGGTAAAAACCATTTTTATTTGTAGTATTACAGAAACCTGTCATTTCTTATAATTATACAAATGTGTTTTCATAGTTTCTATAATAAAAGTACCAATGTCTTTTTGTTCTTCCTTTCTCTTTTTGAAGATAACATAGTTTTCTCAAAATATCTTTGATATTTATGGGATCAAATATACTTTTTAAAAGTTTGGTATTGAAATAAACGAAAAAATTAAATCTTTTATGCCTTATTACGTATTCATTTATGTTTTTTGATCAGTTTGTAATTTATTCAATTAACAATGTGAACAACTTTCATTTGTAACAGGAGCATGATTCTGAAGCTCGACGGTTGATACAAAAATACCCAGATATGGCTACTCCTATTCGAACTAAAGTTACTGAAATTCAAGAAAATTGGAGAAAATTGACAAATCTATGTCATGGCAGGTAAAAAAAAAATAACAACTACCAAGTGTTCATTATAAAAGTTTAAGATTGAAATTTTTAGAAAATTTTAATGTATTTTATAGTTTAAATTGTAAAATAATATGGGTATATTTTGTGGAATAACTTAATTTATTTTATGTTATTTAGGAAACAGCGTTTGGCCAGTGCTTATACTTTGTGCAAGTTTTTGTTTGATTTGAAGAAACTGGTAAGTTTATTTTGTGATTCAACATTATGTAATATTGCATGTGCTACCTGAATAGGAGTCTTCAGTTTTATGTAAAAATTACCTGAAATCTCTGATAATGTTTCATAATCAAATGCATTGCTTGTATAAGGGCCACATCTCATGGGTTTTGTTTCAATCTCGGCTGTATTGCACAGGATCTATAAATATACTGGGAATTTGCTACATCTTTTTATGTTTGCATAACTATAAATTTTGCATGCACACTTAGATTTGGTTGTATTAACAGTTAACATTTATATTCAAATCATGGTTTAAACTAATTTAAAAAATAGTCACAGAAATATTTAAAAATTGAAGTAAAAAATGCAGCATTTGTCAAAAAAACTACAGTAGACAGAGCAGGAATATTTTTAGAGAAATCAAAACAGTATAATAGATGTATATAGTTTAATATTCAGTAGAGTTGACATTTCGTTTTCCATTTTTGTTCTAATTCATGCTTTGCAGTTTTCAGAAAATAAATATATTATTATTAATTTCAGGAATCATGGGTAAATGACATGACTGACCGTATGACGTCAGGTGAACTGGCAACTTCTAACGTAGAGGCCCAAAGTATGTTACAACTTCATCAGGAAAGAAAGGTAATGTCAAATATGTGTTCATGTCTTTTCTATAATTTGACTTCATTAATTTACACAGCCTTGAGTTTTATGTACCCTGAAATTCTTAACTGTACTCAAAGCAAGCTATTTTAGTAGATCAAAACTAAAAATTAATTTGGTGTTTATTACAAGGAATTTAGCATTATTTTTGGCCGTAATGCTATAATATTTCAAGAGGCTCAACCTTCTCAGGAGATTTAAGTTAATCCTAACTCCACACATCTTAAATTAACAATGCAAAATAATCATTTTAATAAAAAAACATTTTAATCTAATTGTGATTATTTTTTACTCAGGGATAGTCAAGGTTTTTGTCTATATGATATATAACACCTATACCACTGCCATGTCTGTTATATCCCAGCTGGCCTGATGAGCCCTGGTATATGATGAAGGGCTTCATTGGCATTTGGTGTGACAGATGTGCTTTCACTCATGGATTTTTAGAATTATTATATATATATGTATAATATATAAGAAAACGCTGGAATATCAGACTTTCTTTTATTAATTTCTTCTACTGGTTTCATGACTTCAAAGGTCACTCTTCAGAAAATCGTTTTACTGAAAATCTATAACAATTAAGTTTATCCTTGTCAGAATTTAAAACAAAATATATATATATATA